GGGGGGGGGGGGGGGGGGGGGGGGGGTGTACGTTCCTCTGGACTTTTTCCAAATCAGAAATTTGCAGTGAAGTCGTTAAAATGTTTTTTTTCCCATCCCTGGGGGTTCTTAGTGGGCGATCGTGTTCTTTTTTGTCACAATCACATTCGTACCATCAGAGGGGTAATTATATGGGAGATTATCCAGCCTTTGGTTGCTGTAAATACTTCCTCTCCAAGACCTGGACCACTGCGTTTCTGGGTTACTCTACAATGAGAAACACAGGCACCGTCAGATCATTCCAGAAACTCCTCCCCGCAGAAAGTGTTTATAAGGGATTAAAGGTTGACTTCTGTGGAAGAAATCAGCACAGGCTAATGGAACAAACAGCTATAAAAGTCAAATAAAAACATGCCTGATGCTTTTAAACGATGCCATGGGGCTCCTTGTGGTTTAAAGGCCAGAGTTGGAGCTCGTCCAAAGCAAGACCTTGGCTTATGTCGCCCCCTCCTGGCAGGTCCTTATCTGTGTAACTGTGCCATGTGACCTTGCGGTTTCTGGGTTGCATTGCCCTCCAGTCCATTCCTTACATTCTCTTTTTCAGAACCCTTCATTATTTTGTAAATAATGCTGTTATTGCTTTTTTGGACCTATTTGGTGTTCGAGGTAAAGGGTAGAAAAGTAAACTGTGTTCAATTCTTTTTTTCCACTGCACCTGAATCTGGGACAGTGAATTTACACTGTAAATTGCATGGAGTACCAGAGCAGAGCCCTCTAATCTACATTTTCCGGTTTTGGATCCATAATGCACCTTGTCAGTTGAGACATTTTGATGTGTAATTGGTGCATCTTAATTATAGGTGCAATGCTACAATTCAAGGTTATTAAAAAGGGATTTCTTGACTTCAAAGATATTCCTCATGTCCAGACCAAAGTTGGGCAGCCGAGACCACTAGAAGCTGAAGAAACTTGTCGAGTATATTTGTAGGATGTGATTTTTTCCCCCGTGGGCCTTCCTACGACCACATAAATCTGGCATTTTCAGTCCCTGGAAAGTGCTGACACTGATGAGCTGTTTTCGGACCGGAGCTGGCTAGACGGCTTTGTGGCTGGACCGAGATGAACTCTTTCCCTCCCTACTTGGCACCAAAATCTTAGTCAGTGTTGAACACCTGCTCTATCCATCCACCAGAGGGAGCTGAAGAGGAGACTGGAGGCTATCCAAAAGAGGCAGGGGTCTTGGGATCCGTGTCCAGCTTGGGCCCTGCTCCTCACGCCATGGTTTGTGCATCTGTGTGCTGCTAAGCGATGACCTCACTGCTGTCTCGTGATGACCTCACTGCTGTCTCATGATGACCTCACTGCTGTCTCGCGATGACCTCACTGCCACAGAGCAAGCTGAGAGTTCAGTTAAGCCAGCGGGGTCCATAGGGGAAGCCTAGCCATTGTTTTCAGTACTTCGCAGTCAGAGAGCCCATACATAATTTTCCGCACTCTCACTAATGGAGGCAAGGATTGAACTCTGCTGCTCTTTAATCTTTTGTTTGTCTACGTTTTTTTTTTTTTTAAATAATGTTTATGCTACAGTATTTCCCCCCCGCCACGCTTTGGGGCACTTGATAGTGGAAACGGCTCACGCCGCTGTGGATGAGTGAACACACTTGTTGCCTCGAGGAGTGCAATGCAGAGTGACCGTAAAACTGAATAATTTGAAACACATCTGTTGTCCATTAGACGCCTGTTTTGGCTCAACAGCTGTGGAGTTCAGACCGAAGTCGGTAGCTGACTACGAATAGGAGGAGAATGACTCGCGGCAGGGAAGGACGCTCTCTTTCGGTGTAGAATATTGAACTTTATCGGACCCAATGTGTGAAAATATGAACCTTCTGTCAGTCGGCGATATCCTGTTCTGTTGAGCGTTACAGTGTTTTCTACAGGGTGCTTGTTTCTTCTCCATTTGCACCGTTTCCATGGTGCAGAGTGAAAGGCGCCACAAAACCAGGGTCGCATCCTCCGGCGTTCCTGCAGTGGTCTGGAGGGAAAAATCAACGGCCGTATCCATGGAAACCATATGGGAGTCCAACACGTTATGGTTTTGTTAACAGTTTAAAGTGTTGTAACCCTTTCACTTCATTGCTTGCTTTGTGTTCATGGGAAACTGACGGCACATTTTTTTGTCCTGTAGGGAAGTTGATCAAACTATGTGTTGAAAAAGACAACTACAGAATATTTGGTGCTTGATTATTAATTATCATTGATCATTTAATTGATTGCTATTGCAGGAGCTGTGTTTTGCCAACAGATGGTATTGTCTAAAATGAATTTAATAGCACTTACAAAACATAAATAATTCAAAATAGCTGATAACAATTGTGTTTGTTAAAACTGTTGCCTCACAGAGCATTAAAAATGATTAAAATCTCATTGTTATCTTGGAAGGCTTTCCCTGGGTTGCATAACTAGCAGTTGCGTTGGACAGTAGCATCGTGTTTCTGGATGAGATCCATTTCTCTGTGAAAATATCAGGTGATCTCACATTACTTTTTCCTGTCTTCGCCTGATCAGATCTGCTCACAATCAATGCTCTCTACTTCCTTTGCCAAATGCTGTAAATCTTACATGAACTCCTCTTGAAGGCACCAAACCAAGGTGGGGGCCTGCTGGAGCAGTTGTATCTCGGAGGATGTGAAGTCCGGTGAGCACCACGGATCCTTCCGAGGACCTGGTTTACACCGAGCCTCTTTTCCTCTGCCAAATCAAACCTATTTTCCCCGTTTAGGTCTTTTGTAAACACCAGAGCCTAAGAACGCACAGCGGTGCTCAGGTCCAGAGCTATGGAGCTGCCCCATTTTTTGGCAATCTACCTGGGGGGGTCGACCACCCACCCCCATCCTCATGTGGGGAGCCGGTGCCCCTCTGTGTGTGGCTCCGCCCATAAATCTTGACCTCACAAGACCGACATCGAGGGGGCTGAACTAAGAAATGATGTCAGTTTAGGAATTTGCCTGTAATCCATGCAGTCCCCTATAAAGTACAGAGGGATCATAGTAATGGGATCATTCAACCATATTTGAAATAGTTTCATCTGTTTTTCCAAACCATTATCCCGCTGTTGGCCTATCCACAGGTGCTTAGTCGTGAATGACTGCACCAAAGAAAGTTCTGCTTCTGTAAATGTGCTGTAAAGCTTGTAGTGTCAAATACCGCAAAGTCATCTTCTGTCGTAGATGGATAGTAAAGGTAAAAGTATTTGTTGAACTAGCTATTACGTTTTTATTTAAACCGAGACCTGTGGAAAAAAAGCGATTTTGACATGATTTTAAAACTGTGATCTTAAGGCATTTTGTCATGGAGCCTGTTTGTTGACTTAAGCGTCAAACGAGCGTCTGCATTATGTGAGTGTGAGACCATGGAGTTTAACTGTGTAACACCTGTGGATGTGTTTTTCCAGAGGACATACTTTGGTGTTTGCAGCATCTTTGAGCCATGATTTATTTATAATCCCAAGACCGTACTCTGGTGTGTTTGGAGTATAATCATAGAGGCGGGGGTCCTGTTCCATGCTCGCCTTAAGTGGCGCTCTCTGTCTTCCTGACACTGGCCTTCCTGGAGTCTGTGGTGGCTGTGCTGGGACTTGATTGGGTCCCTTTATATGCTTCTCTGTAGACGGCCCGACTGGGGGCTGGGGGTTTCCCATGAGCCGACACTTAAGAGACCAGCGGTGGTGTTGTGGCAGAAACGCCAGGATGTCTGCGTGTCTGGTACGTCTGTCGCCCGCCTTGCCCCGGCCTCGCCAAGGCCTACGCTCCTTCATTCTCCAACAGGGCACCATACAGCTAACTGCTTCTCAGTCCAGCTACACTGGATCCTACTAATTGGACATTGTCAGTTAAAACCAACAGGATTTAGGGCATTTCCAAGTTTTCATTTCCAGATTCATAGAGGCCCATTAAGGCGGTTATGAATTCCAGTTTGTATCCTCTGTAACCTCTACTGCTGTGTTTACGCTGTTGTCACTGAAACGCTAAGCACTTTGTCATGTGATTCTTTTTTTTTTTTTAGGCCTTGGAGCGAGTCGCAGCGGGTCAGGGGGTGAGTGTCGTCTCGTAATCTGAGGATTTGACGTAAATGAGAGTCATGTAAACATTTGGGTTCATGTTCAATGGGGCTAAAGGACCGATACGTCTCTGTTGTTCTTACAGTACCTTTCAGTACAGCTGTGGATTTTTTGGTTAAAACTAACAACACTGAACATGTCATAATATATTTCTTTGTTTATTCATCATTAGAAACAGGCTATATGAATTCTAACACATCATGCATTTTTAAATTCATGAAATGTACGCAAGATTTAGTATCAAAATAATGTAATATATAATTGCTGTTTAAATTGGATCTTGTCTTCATCAAATACATGAAAACTAAATAACGTATTCCCAACACGGGAAGATTGTTACATGCTAAAGGCTAGCTTAGTTAATACCCATTGCAAAATCACCGTGGAAACCTTGAAATAACAGGTTACTGAAAACCAGCTACTCTTCCTGCAATGGGTCTCTGTTCTTAATTCCAGAGGAGAAATATAGTTAAAATTCAGTACTGTGGAATGGGGTATGCATGACGTTAGGTTGGTGCATGTGACCCAACACGATGTCACCTCCTGAAGCTCATATGACGAGACGAGGCCTTAGATTAAACAAGCACAGGATGGGAAGGAAAGGCCATGGATGCTGAAGGAGTGACAGGGGATTGTGCTGGAGAAGCTCGAGTGGGATAGTGACGGGGGAGTGGAACTGAGAGGCGGGGAGGGGATTTCAGGAGGGGGGGTGTAAACGTCCTGGACATAGGCAGCTTTCGGGAGAAGATGTTGGCTGCAGGGAAGAGCCACTTGGTGAGCGCCGCCCGTCATCGGATGTGACAATCTTTCACAAGGAAGGCAGGGAGAGGAAGATTTATTTACAGAGCCAAGCTTCACACAGCCCCCCCTGCATTTCGATTTTTGTCTTTAAGACAAAGATCCCACTGGTTTAAGCAGCACCGCGGGGTGCTGGCAGCTACTGGCAGCCCGTAAATTTCAGTGGTCAGGCGTACAGGTGGCTGTTTATCAGCTGAATTAAATCAATGCCCCTTTCGTTCCAAATTCTCCATTAAGCATCTGCTTCTGGCTAAGATAAAAATAATGATATTTAGATTAGATAAATACCTCTATGGATCACAGGATTGTAAGAAATAAAAATGAATATCAGGAGAAGCATGGTTAGTATTTTTTTCTTATTAAAGTTTCTAGTCCTAGATGAGATTTACTCTGGCGTTTTTAAGCACTGATTTGAAAGTTGAAAAAGTAATTAAACAGTTTTCCATGTGTTATAAACTCCAACGGTACAAGAAAGATCTGTCACGGTGCATGGGTGTGATGTTCTGGGGTCCTTATATCCCACCTTAGATGGTGTTCAGTCCTGTGGGTCCCTGAGGAGTAGGCAAAACGGCAATCTGGCATTTCCTCACTTGGGGGCCGGATTCTCACCACGGCCGGTTGTGTTCAGGGGCACGTTTCCACTGGTGTGTGTTCAGGTGTGTGTTCAGTCATAGGCTGACCGTTAGTCTGTGACCTCAGCACACCATGAACCTGAATGATGAGTGTGGTCCAGCACCATGATGTGGAGTTGAACGGGTAACAGACTCTGTGTAGAAGCTCGTACTGCCCACGTAACCTCTGCGCTTGAATATTTATTAGAGCCTACAAAGATGGATTACATGTTCTGACCGGTTTCTCTTCCAAAGATGGCGTTAGGAGTTAAACATTTGGACGGCTCCCTCTGTGTATTAATCATGCAGAGTATTGAGTTTGTGGAAGTATTTTGAGCATATTTAACACAGGCCATGCTTACTGGCAACGAGTGCAAAAGGAATGCTACAGGGGAATAAATCTCTGGCAGAGAATGTGGTGGAATCTCACACACGACCGGCAGAAGTATGAAGTCCAAATGTGATCATCCCAGATGTTACTATGAAATCTGCTCTATGTAACGAAAGCAGAACTTCTAGAACTTTAATTTGACTAGTTCTACCAGCCTGTAGATTTTATGATGACCTACCACACTTGTAAGCTAGTATCGCCACATTGAACATGAGCCCAAATGTTTATGTGACTCTTATTTACATCAGATCCTCGCTTTGCTGAGGCTCTCTGTATGTGACAGTTGGACCAGGAGCTGTTTCCGGTTCCCTGTTCTACACTTTGAATGTTCTCATCCATGCTCTGTCTTCTGGGACTCTCGTTCCTGTTTCTCCCGCAGCTTCCCAGTGAATCCCTGTTTTTTCGGGCGGTCCTTCACGTTATTCTCCGGGATCACTATGATGCGTTTAAGAGGTGAGCTCCGAGGATAAGTGGTCTTACGGGAGGCAGAGAGAGTGTCTTAGGGTTTTCTGGCTGGTCTCCATCGGTCCCCAGACCAAAGTGGTCATTCCATACATTTACAGTCAGGCCATATTTATCCTTAATTTAACCCGCAGCTGCTGAGTCTCTCGTGAGTTTGTGGGGTTCCTCTCTGATGTACTATGTTTGCACCAGCACTTCTGAAACTACCCTCTATGAAGATAGTACCTTGAATTTAATGCTTTCAGATGCTGGTGAAAGATCCATGGATACTCTGAGATTTTTGGAGTTTTCTCCAAACATTGGTGGGCTACACTGACCCCATAAAGTGTCCAGACACTAACCTATTGCTGCTGTTTCTCACCTGACTTCTGACTTTTTTAAGCATGGTTGAGGCTTAAGTGTACAAACACTTTTGGGGGCTACTGTATATGTCCAACCAATAATTAAAATTATTTCTGCCTGACTTTTTCCCATCCCATCCAGGGTGTCCCGTACCTGCTCTGTGTTTTCCGGTATACAGCCAGGAATGTCAGTGTTTCCCAATCTGTTCCTCAGGGACCCACAGCCAGTCCATGTTTTTGCTCCCTCCCAGTTCTCTGCCAGACAGTCCACATTTTTGCTCCCTCCCAGCTCCCTGTCAGACAGTCCACATTTTTGCTCCCTCCCAGTTCTCTGCCAGACAGTCCACATTTTTGCTCCCTCCCAGTTCTCTGCCAGACAGTCCACATTTTTGCTCCCTCCCAGCTCCCTGTCAGACAGTCCACATTTTTGCTCCCTCCCAGCTCCCTGTCAGACAGTCCACATTTTTGCTCCCTCCCAGTAAAAACACAGACTGTCTGTGAACACTGCTGCATGTCTTAGATAAAGCATTAAGCAGCAAGGATGGATGGATAGATCGATGTTCTGCATATTCAGATTTCAGAGGTTGAGCCATTTGGTCAGTAGCTCTTGGTTCGTTTGGTAATTCTTACTGCCTTTCTTCGCCACATGAGGACGTCTGCTTTCAGTGTTTACAAGGACTGGGCGTGGAAAAGTTTGCATTTTAAAACGATGAAAGTTTTTAAAGTTCAGAACATTGTTGGAAGAGATGAAGCTGCTGAATTGCTGGAAAGGCACAGACGAAGCCCCGCCCACACATGATTGGTCTGGCTTCCGTAAGGTTCGAAGCCTCAGATCAGTCACTTTTGTGGGGCCTGAAGGCAAACCGTGCTTGTTGCATCCTCCAGCGGCTCAATACCAGTTTAATATTACAATTTGTCTCCTTGAAAAGGGCAGATTCACTGTAGGTTTCTTAGTTTATATGTCGCCTCTCATCCTTGTTCTGGTAGGAGTTAATGCTTAATGTTTGTTTTTATAAGGAAGAAATCAATCCTGTGTTCCTGGAACGGCAGTCATGGCTCATGGTTATTAATTACAGCACAGAGTTTACTCAAATTTTAGTGGATAATTAATTTCATATTTCTAGTATGATCTACATTTTACCTTCTTTGAATTGCCAAGGATTTAGAAACAAAACGGACAAGAATTAAAAAGCAGAAAGGTATGAGCTAACTGGAGGTTCCAGGAAACTAGGGGCCGTTTTCTGTTCGAGGTTCACTTCAGAGCCTTTGACTTCCTGTGCAGTGACCAAAACAAATAGCCAGTGTCATTGTTTTGGGAGCGATCCACTTTTGCGGCTGACTGGGAAGGGTTCTGGGGCTGTACTGATGGGACACCAAATACCTTGTGAATCCTCAGGGATTATTGGCCCTGGAATAATGTCAGGCAGATTCAGGCTGGCGTCTTCATGGTGTGGTGAGTTGCTATGAGACTCTCCTAAATCTAAAGCAGCATCAAGAAAATAAGGCCTTTGCTGTCTCTTATGATAAAGTGATTTCAGAAAGATGTATTGCTCCCTGCCATATTGTCAAGAAGTCTCACCTGTGGCCGGTTTTGACCTTGACAGTGAAAGGCGTGTGGGGAATGTGTTCTCCAAAGCCACCTCCTTTGTGGACTATGTCAGAAGGGCCCTAAAGAAGCTGGAACTCGATTACTCAAAGGTCAGTATTGTCTTATAGATTGTATTTCTGGACACCATTTAATTATCTAATTCGTATTGGATTATTTTTTTATTTCAATCAGAAAATACTTCGCATTCACTTTAGCTGCAAGTTTTCCTTACGATAATGGAAGTTGGTGTCCTTGACTGTTACTAACACGAACGACATCAGAATAAGCAATAACCAGCTATTTAACTGTCAAGATAACAAATAATAAAAACTACATTTTAAACAGTACCCAGGCGTGAGTATCATCAAACTGAGATAAAGATGAAGTAGAATTTCCTTCAAAACTAATTATAATCACATTCAACATTTAAACGAATAGTAATTATATAGAATATAATGAGATGTGTATCTGTCCAGCTTCGTGCTGCCATGGAAGCGTACTGGTGCTCCGGTGGCGGGTTTGAATGTCACCATCAGCCTCACTCTCATATCTCATAACGTCTGGAAGCCCGTTGGCAAAAGTGCCTCGTCTCCTGGATTTCTACAGCCTCTCTGACCTTTCATACCAGTCAGACATCTTCAGCATTAGTTCTCCAAAGATTTGCTTTTAAATGACTATTGAGCTCACAACCCTGAGTCGGAGAGACAGAAGATGGATGGATGGACTGACTGACTGAATGAATGAATGAATGAATGAATTGAGGTTCCAGCTACCTGCATGCGGTTCTGTAGCTCTGGCCCAGGCACTTGGAATCAATATGTCTCGGGTCTTAGGCACAAGTTTGCTCTCTCATCCATCATTGGGATTCAGGCTAGTTGGACATCTTCTCCATGTATTTCCTGGGTATCCTGGCATTTTCCCAGGACATGGATATGATTTTATTCCCTCCTCTCTCTCTGCTTCAGCGATACATTAATAATCATCATGTGGTCTTTGGCGATTTACTCTTCCAAAGTCGCTGACTTAAATATCCGATCTTCCTTCTCAGCTGTCTGACAGCCTGATCCAAAGTTACCGTGAGAAATATCTGCCAAGGAAGAAGGAGATGGAGGCCTTCAACATGGTGGGTCATGCTTCTTTCCCGTAAATCCTCATATGTGATGTCATTAGGACAAAAAAATTCCCTGCAATAGCCTGACTTGAGTGCAGCTTGTGTATTACATGAGGCGTCACATAAAGAAAAATACATCAGTTATCTATCTTTCAAGTAAGTCGTATTTAGGTCTTCTACATAGTTGAGGTGTATTTCTATTATAGGCGACCAAGGGCTGCATGTATACTTTTGGTTATGCATCTAAGTCAGTCCCATTCCGAAATGCTAAGATGCCCAAGGATCCATGATCTGCTCCCAGTTCACTGATCGGCAAGCATGTGCTTCAAGGTTACGGGACTATTATTTAAACCAGAGTCGTCTGTGCGGACACAGCTGGTGTAGCTGGAGACCCGTAGAGCAAAATCCTGCTCTCAAGTCCCGAGGGACAAAAAAAACAACAACAGTCAGGTGGGACAGCCTCCTAGCCTTCTGTCAGTTCAGTTTCAGTCAGCACAGCTCAGTTTTCCCGCCATGGCCTGGTTAGAGTCGTTTACCTGGCGGTAAGTGAGGTGTGCCCTTGTTATAACTGGCAGAGGAATAGCACAGCGGATAATGTGTTGAATTGAGCACAGTGCATGACCCCGGATACACACAGCTACCCCTGCTGTCTCCAGCGTATCACAGCCACCCACTGGTGCCCCCCGGCTGTAAGGCTATACTCTCGTGGTACTCCAAAGTGGAGTAATGTTACTCTGGCTGCCTCAGAAATTGGCACCACAAGCCACAGCTGGATTCAAGCAAGAAAATAAACAAACAGCAAACCCAATACCTATTCTACCAGCCCTCCATTTATTGAGCTCAGTCAAGGTTAATTCCTTCTAAAACACAGGAAATGATGCTGCTCGAGTTGGATCCAACATCGTCACACACGCGACTCTGTATTATAATTAATTTAGCTCTGCTAATGGGCCGTGAAAATCCCAAATACCTTAGAAGTGTGTATGTTTCCTATCAATCGTGATGACTGCTCGTCTATAGTTTAGGAAGGATGCTTGAGACTTCTGTTCAAATCAGAATTTTATAGTGTAAACTAGATCGAAGTTTTAGAAAACTTAATAGTAATTGGGCAGAGTTGGATTTGCAGTTTGGCAGGTAGTTTGTCATGATCTCAGTTGCATGCTTTTCTTAACTCAGTTGAAGGTGTCCTTGGCTCCTTGCATCGAGGGTCTGATCCTCCTGGACCGTCTCTGCTATCTGAAGGAACAGGTAATGTCCACAGCACATGGTTAAGGTGTCATGGATGAGCCCCTTCACCTACAGAAGGAGGAGTTTCATTTAAGGCCCGATCGTAGCATCTTACCACGTAGATTTTCAAAAAATGTAGACGTGATGCCACCAGCACGAGCTGAGCTGTAATGAAATGACTCTATCCCTGGACGCACAGCATGGAAAGTTTGTGGAAAGTTTCGCACGTGGTGATCAGCTGTTTTCATATTATACCAAAATACCCTTCAGCCCAGATGTTTTTTGCTCTCATCTAATAATCTAAATTAATTCATTCTTTTTCTCTTTTGTGCTGAGTATCTGGTGACATTATGTACAATCAGATCTTGACCACACATCTTCCTTTGTGTTTTTGTGTTCAAAGGAAGTCAGGAATAGCTGGCATATGTTTCCATTTTCACATTTTAGGTAAAGTAACACCTGCCGGTGACGGCGGAGACCATGTGTTCAGAGCAGATGTGTTTCTGAACTGCCAGGTCTTTGATAAATTAACACTACATGAGGAAAAATAGGAAGACCAGATATGGAAACAGCACTGAAGTTTGGAATTATCCACTACTTGTGCTTATAATGTCTTACTGGGTTAATTGTGCATTTGGGTCATTAAGGCCATGATTCTGTAGTTTCTGAAATGGTTCTTATTGAAACACCTTCTGACTTGCATAATTGTCTGGATGAAAGATCCATGCAGCTTCTAATTGAGTCCTGCAGGGTCTCGCTGGACCGTGGGGCTCCAGCTAGTCTCACTCTTTCTGCTACTTCATGAAGTCCTTCAGGATCAAACTCATGTTTGAATGGCCGTCTCTGTGCTCCATCAAGCCTCAGGGTTCCCCCATAGGTGCCTCGGGGTTCCCCCATAGGTGCCTCGGGGTTCCCCCATAGGTGCCTCGGGGTTCCCCCATAGGGGTAGGGTGCCGTGCGTTATTCATCACTTAACCATCACTGGAGTGTAGCTGTTTACTCTGTCATCTCTGCCAGTATCAGGCTACTTTCTAGGTTTGGGGTTCTCAGCCTTTTGACGTCCTTTGCACTGGTTTACGTCACACAAGAATTTCACAGAACTTCAAAACAGAGGCAAATCATTTTCATAACATTAACTATTTCCATTTTTTTCCCAGAGGTGAACAGAACACTTGACCGTGAGTGGTCATAAAAAATATTAAACATTGAGGTTTTTCTTTGGAAATTAACCAACCCCTCTGCAAAACTCCGACACTCCACAGCCCAGTGGAATACTGGCCACGGATCAGTACCGGTTCGTGGACCAGGGGTTGGGAACCTCTACTTGAGGTGACATACGCAGCTGCCTGGGACGCCACCTTCTGAGGGGCCGTCAACTTAGCGAGCCAATCTAACTTTATCTCTGACAGGGGTGGTCGTGAAGCTTGCCTAGGGAGAGCGAAATTCGAGCATTAAAAAAAAAGCCAAATCGTCTTTTTATTAACATCTGCCTTCAGTATTTCCACCTGCTTCCATTATTTCCACAAGAAAGCATTTTAAACATTTTTAGTCCTGTACTTTTAAGGTCTGCTGTCATGACTTATTTTAGTCATTTAACATAAGATTTATGATAACGAAAGATACCAACGCTGTCTTTGATTGTTGAAGTAGGCGCTGCATGTTTTTAGTATTGTGAAGCAGAGTGTGTTCCTTAGGACAATGATAGTGGAAAATCTTACTCTTTGCCTCAGAAGGGGCATCTCAGTCTGAGGGTTTGTGCCGGTTTGACACCATAGTGCAGTGTTTCCAAATCGTCTGTGGGCCCCCGAGGACCGGGTTGGGAAACACCCTCGTAGTGGATGGTGTAAAGAGCTGTGTGCTGAAGGTGTGCTTCTCTATATCACCAGATGCAGAGGCAATTCCAGGTTTTTCTTAAAGGTGGGGGGCATAAGAGGGGTCATAATTCATACAGAGGGGCCAGCCTTATCATTAGCCAATGCTTTTGATACAGCGAGGGCATAATTAGTGCTTTTCACACTAGTGGGAGGTGGGTGGCTCCATATTCAATTTAAGGGAGATCTGGGGGGGGGGGGCTCCCAGAACCCCCCATATGAGAGGAAACATGTAACCCCTTAAAATGACCATCTTACAAGATTCAGTGCTTACCCCTGCCCTCCCCCCTGACTACTTTTACTCCCCCCCCATTCGGGAACTATGGCTAAATAAGGTTGGACGTCGTGGTCAGGCTGCCCACCAGGGCCCCCCAAGACCTCTGACTGAACTGGATCACTGGGGTGGTTTATGTGTTGCCTTGGGGCAAAAGCCCCGAGGTTAGAGCCTGTAGGAACAGAGGGAGATTAGCAGGCCCAAATTTGGGCCCGGCGTCACGATGCAGTAAAACAGCATATGCCAGCTGCAGAGAGAAACGTCTCTTCTTCTCTTCCAACTGCAGTAACCACGGCGATGACTCCGACATTAAACACGCCACGGCACCAAATCATGTCATCGGAGATCTTAGTGGACAGCAGTGATGCACGGATGGCTCATTGCTCCGATTTTGCCCAGATTTAGGAGAACGCAATCCCAGAACCATGAAGCTGAACTTTGATGACCCTGCTGAGGGATGCAAGCCACGTACAAGCATGTACCTGCAGACTAGGGTGTTTTTGGAGTTGAGTGTAGGGTTCGTGACTCTCAAAGCGGGGCAGAATATTCACCGTACGGTTTTATGGTGATCTCCGTCTTGTCGGCAATGAGAAGATCAGCCTTGGAGCCGCGGTTCACGTCTCGCGGTTCACGTCTCGCGGTCGGCAGAACGATTTCACCCTCGAGACCCTTAATCTGCATTGTGCTGACCTACCCTTCCGGTTTTATGTAGCTTTGGCTAAAAGCATCTGCTATGTAAATAAACTTGGTTTGAGTCTGTATATTGTAGCAACCCACTGAAGTGTGCAAGATGTAGGAGGGTCTGGTTTCTTGACTCAAGTCCCCGACGGGGCGTGGCTGCCCAGCCCGTCGGCACGGACCTGACACGATTGCGTGAAACACTGCCGTGTAGGTGCCCATAATCACCAACAGAGTAGTGAAACGCTCCATATCTAATATGGCTTCCAGATCAGAAGATCTGACTGGCTCTGTTCTCGTCTTCTTTCTTCAGAAGGAAACATCTTCTTGCGTGCTGGTGCAGCTTTTTGACCCACTGATGTCACCGAGATGCTATGGACTCGTCGCCTTAAAGGAACGGCAGACCCCATGAAGGCTGCTGAACATCTCACAAGCGTGTTGTTCATTATCTCATAGTTTTACCGTTTACACTGTGCTGATGGCTTCCATACTTCCAGCTTTACACATTCATTTTGGCAATTAACAGATCAAGACGATTTAATTAAAGTTAAATTATTTCAACATTTTTCAAAGTTCAAAGGGTGGATTTTTAATTCTGTGATTATGGTGTTAGCTTTTTATGGCAAAAATCGATGACGCATTTTTTCAAGAAATGTCAGTTTGTTTTTGTTTATTTGGAATGAATTAATACAACATGGTGTACATTCAATGAATGATATATCAAGCTATGAATTTTATCTTTTTTGTAATATACTAACCAGCAGTTCAGCTGTTTTATTTTTTATGTAACATAAAGGGTGCTTTTTCATTTAAGGTAAAATTTAAGGCAGTAGTATTTATAATGCTCCACAGAGAGCAGTTTGACCCACAGAGTTGTGTTCATGAGTGAATGTCTGTCTAATTCTCAGTTTTAGCAGGAATCTCATCAAACACACACACACACACACACACACTCCGGAGAAGATTACTTCTTCCTTCTTTAGCCCTAGACAATTTACTACTAGAATCAAAATTCTTATACCTGTATAAATTACTCCAGTAAAAGGCTACCGTTTCATGAATATTATGTTTCTCACTTGCTTTCAACTGTAATTTCCATTTCCATTTTTATTGCCCTTCTGTGAATATAGCGCTAGGCGTCTGTATTCATAGAAGAAACTATTTATCAAAAGAAACACTTCTACCAGTTAGTTCATTTCAGTACGTCATCACCATAGCAGGGGCTATGTTAAAAAGGTCCTACGTCCTATTTTCTTAAATGGGTTTTAGAAATACTTTCTGAACTGATTAATGGTGAATGTCATTTCTGATTTGTCACAGATTTATTTTCAGGAATAAAACTGAGATGGATAATGGAGGTAGAGCAAGGTGATGGTCTTTTTTCATCTATTTTCAGACTGTTTAGGTTGGCATCTCTGTACATGCAGCAAAACAGGGATGGATTTGGGTTGTGCTGCCGCTGGGCCCTGCCCTCCTGTTGGAGGTATTAGCTTGAGCTGGCACGCCAACCAGCACGCCAACCGGCAGGATCCGCACGCCAACCAGCATGCCAACCGATAGGATCCGCACATCAACCGGCACGCCAACGGGCATGCCAACGGGCAGGATCCACACGCCAACCGGCACGCCAACGGGCAGGATCCGCACCGGTGGGATCCCCGGGGTCCACAGACATGACATTGTGGTTTATTATTTGTTTATATTTCATGTAAAACACACAACAAGGTGACAGCAGATTATTACTCGCAAGGAAAAAGAAAAAGAAAGAGAATAAAAAGAAACAAACTCAAAAATTGCATTTACAAAAGCGAGAGGTGTTATTACGCAGTCTGTGCCTGTAGAGGGCGCATACTGTACTTTACTAAAAAGAGTGGGCATATCTTTGTGTGTGTGTCTGTGTCTGTGTGTGTGTGTCTCTTGATTATGTTTATATTACAGTGTGGGGACCAAACAAACCAGTTTTTTTAATGTTGTGAGGACCATTTTTCAGGTCCCCACAAAGATCTGTGAATGCAATCAAAAAAACAAAATGGCAAAAATCTTTTGGTATTTTGGTTACTTATGGTTAAGGTTAGGGCTGGTTAGGGGTTAAGGTCGTCATGTTGCGATTAGAATTTTCCCCATAGAAATGAATGGAGAGTCCCCACAAAGATATAATCACAAACCTGTGTGTGTATGTGTGTTAACTGAGGGGTTAAGAGAAGAGAAAAGGCAGGAGAAATGGGTGCTGACTGTTAGGTGCTGAATGTCCCTGTATCCAGCCATTATCCACCATGTCCCTGTATCCAGCCGTTATCCACCATGTCCCTGTATCCAGCCATGAACCGCCATGTCCCTGTATCCAGCCATGACCCGCCATGTCCCTGTATCCAGCCGTTATCCACCATGTCCCTGTATCCACTCAAGGCCAGACGAGTTGCCATGGTTCATTCTGACTTTTTGCCCATATGCACATGTTGTAAAGGGAAATTAGTTATATCACCTTAATCTTGACTGGGGAGACCATACAGGAAATCATCCTGTTTATTTTAAGGATTTAGGGGGTTGAAGATCTTGGGTGGGAGGTAGCTGTTTGTCTTGTCAACATGCTGGGATCATAAATGCTTTTTGCTGCAGTCTTCGGTTTTCTTAAGCCCACTGGGAGATACACGCAGCCCCCACGTGCCACATCCGCCCTCATATACCCTGAGCTTGGCTGGAGAGCCCTAAAGCCTGTCATCTGTCACCTGGGAGGGTTCCTCTGCCACACACAATCTCTGGGGGTTTCTCTGTAAGATTGTCCCCCAGTGTTTCGCCGGGTCTGATCAAAATAGTATTACAAGCGCCACAGTGGAACCGCAAATGAGAGTGTGGGGTCTGTTTAATATGACTTCGTATTTGGTGGTGGAGTGTGGTCCAAAACCTGTATGATTCATGAAGCTTCCTCATGGCAGCACTGGAAAATCAGTGAGGATCATTTAGATGCTTTCTGAGCGCTGCTTTTTAAACCAGTACCTCCCACATGTTACCCTGTGGCCTCAAAATGTTGCTGTAAGTTCGAAAATGTGCTGAATAAGGAGCGGATATGAAGAAAACTAATGGATGTATCCAGATCAGTATCAGATTGTGGGTAATTATGGCAAATTTCAGAGTAACTCTGAGGTGAATTGACAGTTTGACTGTTCATTAGAGGATTCTTTATGTATATCTTAGCGTAACGCTACATAATCTTAAGGGAAGTGTGGGGAGAAATATCTGCAAGATGTTATCTCACATGTCAACTCAAAATCTGTAATACAACAATAAATGAAAACATAAAAGGATCAGATAGTAAATGGAGGGGATTTGGGGAGTGAGTAAGCATTTATTTACCACTTTATATTAACTTTGATATTTATGCTGAAAAGATACAAGAATTAGACCATTAATATGCAGTAATACAGTGTAGCAGAAGACATGTTATCTAAAGGCAGACAGTGCAAAACATCCAGCAGGGGGCGACATTATTCAAGGGTTGAATACCTATTGACCACTTGCATGTTAGACTTAGAAAGAGGAGCTAGCTGAGGTCTAATTGCTCTCTGCCTGGCCCTTTCCTCTTTCAAGTGCTTGTTTCTGATGAATGGGTGGAGTGTGTAAAGGCCGGTGCCACTTCAGAGAGCTGCGGCTCAGACAAAACGGGCCTGATGAAAATGAACCACTTGAGTTTGTTTCCCATTCGCCGTAAACGGAAACAGGATCCACAGTTTTCCCCTCTCAGCCACTCCTCTGACTGGTTCCCTCTGTCTCACACATGCACAATGACAAAGGATCCCGTAAACACTCCGCTGCTTCCGTCATTCTCCTAATTCCAAGGGAAGAGGAAAAAGGTTCAGGATGTGAGGGAAGATGCATTTGAAGATGTTCTCAGGACTGAAATAGTGCCCGGTGGGAAACACTTTGCTTTGTGCTTGGGGTTGGGAATAGATGGGAGAGTCTTAGAACACGGTGGAGGAAATGTGTCCTTTCCACTGCCAGACGTCTTTAACAATTCACAGATTTTTGTTAGCCTGTTTAAAAAAAAAGTTTCCATCTCAGCGGCCAAGACATGACAGTGATTTGGCAAGTTTGCTCTGACCACAATAGACCCTCCTCCCCTCTAGGGGGAGCCACTGCCTTGTACCCCATGCTCTGATCTCCCTGCAACCGTGGCCAGGAAAAGTGCTTGGAAGATGATTTCTTATTATTATTGTCATTATTATTATTATTATTATTCACACATTTGCCCTGAAGGATTGCCGCAGCTCTCTAATGCTCTATCTAGCACCCACAATGAAAAATGGCCGTCTTAGAAATGTTCTCCTACATATTCAAGCTACAACTGTGCCACTCCATGATAAAAGAGGGAGACGTGGAACGGAGCCAAAGAGGACAGCTGAGAGATTGCACATGTGTGCATTTGTGGGCAGAATTCTTGTGCAGATTCAAACCTACCCTGACCTTAGGTTGCTGCCATGGAAACGATTCCCCGAGTTCTGTAAACATATATATTTTTCCACACTAAATAATGGTTCAGAAAACTGAGCTTTTATTTCAGATTTTTTAAATGATCATTTATCTTTGTGAGAAAAGTCTTCACTGTGTATATAACAAAGACTTAAAACAACATGTTTGTGCAACTCCTAAAATGAATTTTCATTTCTGATTAAGAAATCCCCTTGAATCACAGAGGGACGTCTTTGCACAAAATAATGTTGACCTTTAAATCCTGGACATCAATACATGACAACCTCAGTGCCTACATTCGTTGTTGTGCCTTTGGATGGACTGCAGTATAAACATTAATATTCAATGTAAATAGAGTATTCTTGGTTGGAACATCACTGGATGTTTAATATTGATTAATATTGCTGCTACATCTCAGTGCTATAATGTGACATAATGAACACATTAGGGCAATTTTACAAAGCAGAAGTAATTAGGTAATGCTTCACCTGTAGTGACAATCAAGCCAGTGTCTGGTCCTATTTGTTGATTTCCATTTTCTGTGCCTTTTTTCCCCCGGACTGACATTAATTGTAATACAGCACCCAGCATGATTGTGTCTCTGCCAGAGAACGTGTCCCAGGCCAGCTTTGGACTGTGGCTTGGCACAGATGGGCGTGGCTGGGAGCCTGAAGCCTTTTTCATCTGCCCACGCTGCTTACACAGCCAGATGCAAATGGAACGAGGTGTTTTATCTGCTCGTTAGGCCTGCCCTGTGCGGAGGGCTTCCAGCATGCTTCTGGGGCGTGTCGCTTTCCATGGAGCGTGTTTTCCGTTGGACCATAGAATGCCCTGGGAACTGGACTGCTTGCTTCCAAATGCCCCCCCCCCACGTCCCAAGTCCTCGTCGGCACATACTGTGTTTTAAAGGGTTAATGTCACTACCTCATTTCCCTCTTAATTAAATGATGAAGATTCACACGGTAATAAGATCCATCATTGTCACAAGGCACACGTGGCCGTCTGTCTTAGGCCAAACCTTAAATACTCTAATTACATTTATTATATTTAGCAATAGTCTGTATCGGTAAGAGTCAATGGCTTCCTTTAACATATAAACCCATATTTTTAGTGATTTTAAATAATGTATCTTACTTTGTGTTTATTTTATAATACAGATAAATACATGAACAACAACAAACCATGATAATGCCATTATTATTAACAATTTGATTATATTTTAAGGAACACGTAATTCGCGCAAATTTCACGGCTTAAATTGTATCACACATTGGACTTTCGTCATGCTGTTTAACCGCCCCCTCATTATCTACGCGTGCTACCCCGATTGTGATCACCTGTTGCCTGTTATTTTCTGCTTGTCTTGTGTATTTAGTCCACGTTCAAGTCTGTTTCCCCAGGTCCGTCATTGACGTAAATTTGCCGTGTGTTCCCCTGTCATCTTGTCAATCCGAAATAAAGCCCGTTTTGGATCGCATTCACGGCTCTCTCGTCTGCTTCCCCGCTCGACGTACGCAGACGTAACACATACTTTTTAAATTATTTTTTTAATATTATTTGATGCAATCTTGACTCAGCTTTTTAGATATGCCTCATACTTTTCATCCCTACGGAGCCCCTGAAGGCACCCTTACAAAAAATTTAAATGATCTTACTTTCACAAGATGTGTGTGTGTGTGTGTGTGTGTTATACCGTCAAATATCTTTTTTTATGATCGCTTATTCGCAATAAAGCTATCAGGTATGTAATAGTGTTATGGATCCATTGAAAATGTATGTAAGAGTCGTCATTATTGCTTGTTGCTAATATTAGGCTAGGCGTGGAAATAATAATTCATTTCATTAAAAAATATTCATAAAACATTAAAAACGTTCAGAAACCGTCATCATGGAAGAAATATTA